ATTTGCTCATTTCACATTGAGAATTCACAGCCTTAACAATCCTAGTGCAGGGAAATGTATTAAAGTGTGGATTCCCTCCTGTAGCACTAACATCCATTAAACATGATTGGCGAGCAAGAGATTATTTTCTGCAAAATACTCACAGTCCTTTTGTGGTTCTTTCTCTTAAATGTGAGAGTTTTGTTCAGTTTTTTAATAATCTCAAATTCCATTGCATAATATGATGACATTTGCAAACTGGGGAAAATTCTTATCAAAGCAGAACTTACATTAAATTCTCACCCATCTGTTGTCGTTGTGTGTCTTCAAGTCATTTATGACCTACCTATGCCAACTCTGAGATGAAGATATGATGGGGTGTTCTTGGCAAGATTTGCTCAGAGGTGACCATTGCTTTCTTCTGAAGCTGAGAGAGTGTGACTTGTCCAAGGTCATCCAGTGGGTTTCTATATCAGCATGAAGGTTCGAACCATGGTTTTCCGATATCCTAGCTCAACATATTCAGGCTTACTACACCATGCTGGCTCTCATGCCCAAGTTCAATGAGTTGCAATTGTCCATAGTCACAGCTTGAGAAAGTTACTTTTTGGGACATAGCCCCAAAAGTAACTTCTCCAGGCTATGATTTCCACCAAATTTGCTCCTTTCCTTACCCTATTAAAGAACTTGCTAGTAAGACAGGGAATCCAGTCTACTTGGCCATGAGAGAAGACTGCGAAATAGCTTCTGTATCTTGAATGTTGTCCCATTTAAAGTTTGGAATAAAATCCAGTGTGGATTCACTGCCCTACTGACTTGGGACCACCAGCCTGGCACTAAGGAGCACCATGCCTACCCTGCTTGGCCTTCCTCAGACATCTCCTGCTATGCTAGTTTCCAACTGAATCTCTAAGGGTGCATCTACACTGTAGAAATAACGCAGTTTGACACCACTTTCACTGCCGTCGCTCCATCCTAGGGATCTGTAGTTTTGTGAGGCTCCAGCCCTCTGGCAGTGAAGGCTAAAGACCTTGTGAAACTACAAATCCCATAGGATGGAGCCACAGTACTTAGAGTGGTGTCAAACTGCATTATTTCAACAATGCAGATGTACCTTAAGTATTTATTGGAAATCAGTTGTTTCCCCCCCCCCCATGCAAACAAGAGTTTTTTGAGTTGGAGACAGAGTTTCCTCCCCTCTAAAGATTATCGTGAACTATTTCTCTCAAACCCTTATAAACTTGAGGCTTTTCCTCCTACACAAACCTCATTGATATGAACGACCCTTGCTCATTTTGGTAATGCTAATATGGTGGAGCATTGTGGAAAATTGGCCCCCATATCTATGAAATGTGTAGTGTCCTTCCTTTTGTGACATCCAGCATTGACGTCCCTAGGAGACCAATCCAGGAGTAGCTGTGTTGGCCCTACAGCAAAATACAATAACATCCAAAATCTAGAAAGCAGTGATACCTTTATGGGACCAACCAAAATACTCAAAATACATGTTGCAAGCTTTCATACATCTACACTGTAGAAATAATGCAGTTTGGCACCACTTTAATAAGTGCTGTAGCTCCAGCCTATGGAATCCTGGGATCTGTAACTTTACCAGGTCTTTAGCCTTTTCTGCAAAAGAGTACTAGTGTCTCAACAAATCCCAGGATTCTGTAGAATGGAGACACAGCGCTTAAAGTGGCGTCAAACTGCATTATTTCTACAATGAAGATGTGTCCTAAGTGTTTCTTGGGATCAATTGTTTCCCCCACAGACAAATAGAGGAAACAACTTGAACGACTTCAGTTGGAGATAGAGTTCCCTCCCTTCTAAAGGCTCCTGTGAACCTCTGCCAACTTTGAAGAGGTTCACCCATGCCGGCTCATGCCTTCTTCTTTGGCACAGGTGGCACCAAGGTGGCTCACCACCAGCACACCGAAAGTGCAGGGAAATATGAGCACAAGTGGTCACCGGAGGCAGAAAATTACAGCATCATTGAAGTGCAATACGTTGTCCGTCATTTGACGCTATTTTCCTCCCTGAAGAGTGAATCTACTTTTGCTCCTGGAAGGCATTTGTTAGATTTTCCTCTCTCAGATGCTGGCTACTCATGATCATCACCTTGTTAGCTATAAAGACAAGGAGTGTATCTTGTTGTGTACCATCAACTCGTTTCCGACTTATGGTGACCCTAAGGCAGTGAACCTATAATGGGGTTTTTTTGGTAAGTTTCTTCAGATGCCATGGACATCCTCTCTGAGGCTGAGACAGTGTGATTTGCCCAAGGTAACCCAGTCGGTTGCCGTGCCCAAGCTGGGATTCGAACCCTGGTCTCCCAGTATCCTAGTCCAACACTCAAACCACTATGCCACGCTGGCTCTTTGAGTAGAAATAATGTGCCTGGGAAAACAGTAAAACCCAGGATTCTGTAGGATGAAGCCATGGCAATTAAAGTGGTATGAAACTGCGTTATTTCTATTTCGAGAGTGTATCTATACTGTAGAAATAATGAAGTTTGACACCAGTTTAACTGCTATGGCTCCATCCTACAGGATCTTTGATTTTGCAGTTTTATTATGCACCAGCACTCTTTGGCAGAGAAAGCGAAATACCTCGCAAAACTACAAATCCCAACATTTCCATGGGATGGAGGAACAACACTTAAAGTGCTGAAAGAAAGCCTTCCTCTGTTCTCAAAATCCAGCCAGGGTCATATGGATAAAGATCCAGACTATGTAAAAACTCCATAGTCAGCCATCTGTATCCATGGATTCTGCATCCACCGATTCAACCATCCATTGCTTGAAAATATATACACCCCCAAATCCAAAAAAACACAACTTGATTTTGCTATTTTACACAAGGGACACCATTTTACTATAAGTGACTATATAATGGGACTTGAGCATCTATGGATTTTGATATCCATGGGGGGGGGGTGTCTTGGAACCAAACCCCAGCAGATACCAAGGTCCCACTATATTCTCCTTTCTCAGATTTTTTCTGTTTTTTTAATGCAACAAAACACAAAGAGCCTTTCCCGCATTAGCTGGGTGTTGCCTATTCCAGTTTGGCCCAGGGTTTCTCCCTCTTTTTTTTCTTTTCTTTCTGCTTATTTTGAGTTCCAGTTTAAAACACAACAGCCTTTCACATGAGGACACAAGGCGCTTTTCTTTTCCAAATGACTCATAGTGATCTGTTTTTAAAATTAAATTTTCTTTTTTTTGCATATGCTTGCAGCTCCTTTGGGCTTGTCAGGATAACCTTTTCTTTTTTGAAATGCTGAAGATCAGGCTCACATGGTTTAAAATAATAATAATAATAATAATAATAATAATAATAATAATAATAATAATAATTGTGCCTCATTCTGCAACTTCTTTGTGGTGCCTTCATTCTTTCTTTTCCAATTGTTCACCCCCTTTTTCAGGAAAATATCTCCACATTGATGTATATGGATCACATCATACATAGACTGTGTTTGATAATGCCAGATATACTGGTCCGGACCATGGATGTTTTCCATTAAGTATGAATATTTGCCATTAATACCTGCCTTCCATTTGGAGGAAATCATGAAGAAGAGCAGCATTTCTACCTGTGTGGGTGGACAGTCTTGATCCACAAGTGAATTGGGAGGAATTTGGCTTAACACCAAGCAAACTTCAGTGAATGAATAAGTCCTACATGCAAAATGCATCCATTATTATGTGTCCTTGGAATTCTTGGCTTCCTATAATGTAGCTGTTGTATAACATTATGAACCTCTAAAATACTTAAGAGTTGCTTACTCCAAGGTGGTTATGATGATGATATGATGAATATAGTTATATTCAGGCATAGACGTGTTGGCCATATAGCAAAGCACAATAACATCCAAAATCCACAAAACAGTGATCCATTTATTGGATCGACCAAAATGCACAAAAGACATGATGCAAGCTTTCAAAGCTTTCAACATTTTGAAATTCCTTCTTCATCAGGCAAAAGTGTTAAGATTGGGTGACCTTGGGCAAAGTGATACTCTCTCAGCCTCAGAAGAAGGCAAAGGGAACCCCCCTCCCCGAACAAATCATGCCAAGAAACTCCAGTGATAAGTTCACCTTAGGGTTGTCATAAGTCAAAAATGACTTGAAGGCACACAACAATGAGTGCAAAAAGTGCCTAGCTTTCCCTCTAATTCTGTTTTCCATTTGCCAAGGAACTGATGGAGAGACTTTTTTCAGAAATGGAAAGGCAAGGAATGGACCAATTCTCTTGCTTTTATCTCAGAAGCCCTTTGGACCAACCCAAAACCATTTCTCCATCTGCCAGTACTGGATTTAAAGGTCTTGGTCTCAGGGAGAGAGGAAGAATCTCAGAGCGAGAGCTCTGCCCTGGAGAGAGAGAGAGAGAGAGAGAGAGAGAGAGAGAGAGAGAGAGAGAGAATTCTGTTGGCCGTTGTTCTTGCAGGCAGCTGAGAAGGAAAGAGGGCTAGCAAGGAGGGAGATGGGGGCTCTACCTTAAAATCATAGAATCATAGAATCATAGAGTTGGAAGGGACCACAAGGGCCATCCAGTCCAACCCCCTGCCATGTAGGAACTCCAAATCAAAACATCCCCGAAAGATGTGGCTTGGCTGTTTATTTGCCAAGGCAGTGCCCAACTGCCAGGGGTGTTATACCAGTGCAATGGTCCCCCAAATGTAAGGTTTTGTGCTAGATTTCAACACCTATGCTTCCACCAACGCTGCCAGGGCAAACACACCCACTGTGCACAATAGATGTGAGGAGGTACAGGAAGAAATGGTTGCCATACAGGAAGAGCTGGCTTATAAAGCTCCTGGCACCAAGCCTGAGCTTTGTACACACCAGTGCCAGCTCAGATTAGATGCGCCTGGAAAATGGGTCTTGCGAGAACAAAGCCGCACAGTGTAGGATGTGACCCTGAGGCTTATCATGAAATTGGCATGAAGAAAGCCGTTGTAGCCACAGCGCTCAGCTGATTCAACCCCATGACACTGATGCTGTGAATGCCACAGGAGTGTGATGGCACCACATCTGGGTAGGGCTTTGAAGGAGAGACTAGGTATTCCTCAACCATCGTCCTGTCATTAGGGTTTCAGCAGTGAATCAAAATATCATTTGCCCCAGTTAAGGGCACAGTGATCGCCAGCAGGATAGTGAAGTCTCTTCTGGTCCCTTCTAATATCATCCTCCTGTGTGTGTGTGTGTGCATGTTGCCTGCAAACCAGGCCTTGACACTTTCTTGAATCCAGAACAAATTCCAGTTTGCATTCTGGCCACACCAGATGTACATAAGGGGCCAAAGCTGTACCCCTTGGGTGCCAACCCCACCTGATTTTTGAAGAATGCTTTAAGGAAAAGGTGGGGAATGTCTGTCAGCTTGAGCAGTTGGCAGTGTCAAATAATAGAATCCTAAAGTTGGAAGAGACCCCAAGGGCCATCCAGTCC